TAGAATAATGATGAAAGGTCTAGAGAACATCTTTCTGTTTTCATTGGACAGAAGGCCAGCAGTGTCTGTGAGGGTGGGGAGAGCAAGGAATGTGGTAATTTAAAGACACAGCAACATCTTTGTTTTGGCTTAAGTCTGGTCTCTTTTTTTTTTTTGATCTTCAACCAATTTTTCCCTGCCTCTTTGGGATTTTTTGTGAAGGTATCTGGCAACCCTAACACAAATGCTAATTAGAACTATTAATGGTAGGTTTCAAAGAATATTCTACTTTAAATATAAATTCCAATTCATTTTTTCATAATTTTTCCTGCAGTGTTTGTTATTCACTATTAATTTCTAAAGAAAGCTTTGTTCTGCTCCACTCTGTTCTCTCATGCTTCCTGAGCCTGTCACATGATACCATACTGAATTCACAACATTATCTGCTGTTATGGTAGAAATAGTTTTAAAGTCAAAACCATAGCCCAGCTCAGAATGTGTTAAAAAATAGCTGGCTTATGGGGCTTGGGCCAACGGGTGAGCTGCAGGGTAGATGTTTGGTCTGGGGCAGCAAATGCCTCCATCCCTCTGTGTCTTGCTCGGCTGGCTGGTCCCAGGCAGAAGGCGCTCAGTCTCTGGATGGATTTGGGGTTGGTTCCTGTCCTGGGAAGCTAAGCGCAGAGCAGGGGGAAAGTACCCCAGGTCTGCAGGATTCCTTGGGATAACAGCCCTGGCCAAGCGTGCTACTTGGATGCCTTACCCATGAATTGTTCTCCCCTGCTGGCCCCTGGTAACTGCAGCTGGGGTAGGTCCCGGACCCATCGCCCCCGGTAACTGCTCCTCCCTCGACCGGATTCCCAGCATCCTCCTGGCTGCCTCCTGCCCTCCCAGCACCTGCTGGGGGTTGTGGTGTCTCAGGTGCCGGGGCTGATTTCCCTGTGTCCCCCTTGTGTCCCACTCTCAGCCCCTGTGACTGTCTCATTCTCAGTGCAGAGAGCTAAACCTGCCCTTGCTGACGGGTGCCCCCCGGCTGGCCCCTTGTGCCCGGACGGCTGGGTCGGGTACCGTGGGAAATGCTACTCCTTCTCCGAGGGCGAAGGGAGCTGGACCGACAGCCGGAGCAACTGCTCTGCCCTCAGCGCTTCCCTGGCTGGGATCGACACCCTGCAGGAGCTGGTGAGAGACTCGTCACCGTGGCCTGGCCTGGGCTCAGCGGCTGCAGCAGGGCCTGGGCTCAGAGCCCAGAGCCAATGGGCTTCCCAGCTGCTGAATGCCCAGCCTGGCTGGGCCCAGGGCACCTCTGGTGTCAGGGTGTGATGGCTGGTTCTCCCCCCACACACTCCACAGGGGACGGCCCCTCTCTCAGGCTGAGCTCTTGACCTGTCAAGCTGCATGGAGGGCGGGGGAGGACACAGCTCCTCTGTAGAGCAAAGAGCAGCTGGCTGAAGAGAGGGAGAAACCCTAAGCTCAGGTTGCAGTTTGATATTAGGACAAAGTATTTCCCTAGGCAGGTGGGGAAGCCCTGGGCTGGGTTCCCTAGGGAGGGGTGGAATCTCCATCCCTAGAGGTGTTTAAGTCTCGGCTTGACAAAGCCCTGGCTGGGGTGATCGAGTTGGGGGTTGGTCCTGCTTTGGGCAGGGGGCTGGACTCGGTGCCTCCTGGGGGCTGGTCGAAATCTAGGTTTCATCTGGCCCCGGCCCCTCCTGGGTGACAAGGAGGGGGCGTCTTCTCTCAGTCCTGGCCTCCTCCCCCATGCAGATTGTGTGTTTCACCTTCCCCAGAGAGGGCTAGTGGGAGCCCAGGTGCTCTGTCAGGTGAGGGTTTCACACAGAGCCTGGCCCAGAATTGGGGTGGGGGGGAGCTGTCTTTGGCGGGGGAGGGCTGATACTGAATTACCCAGAGCAGAGCAAGGGCGAAGGGGAAATCCCCAGCCACCCCCTGGGAACACTCAGAGAGTTTTTGTGCATCCCTGGGGTTCCCCGGCCAGGCCCTAATGCCGCCTCCCCCTCTGCTGTTCTAGGCTTTCATGCTGCGCTACAAAGGCAAACCCGACCACTGGATCGGCCTCCGGAAGGACTCGGGGCAGCTCTGGAAATGGGCCAATGGCACCGAATTCAACCACCTGTGAGTCTTTGCCCCCCTCTCTGTGAGCTCCCTGGTGTGTGAGGTACCGAGTTCAGGCCGAGCCCCCAGCCAGGGCTGTGGGAACAGCCAGAGAGCGCTCGGAGCGTGTGTGCTCGGTGTGTTCGTGATGGGTGCAAGCCAGTGTCTGCCTGAGACTTACAGCTTCTCGCAGGGCGGTGCTGGGCCTGAGCTGCCAGCCCCAGGGGTATCCTGCCCCCCTCTGTTCCTTCCCCACTGAGCTGGCCTGAGGAGCGGAGAACCTCACGGCACTGCTCTGAAGAGCTGGGCTGGGGGAATCTGGTTTCCCTTGGGGTGCTTTGGAAAGAGGGTTGGGGCCAGTCACTCAAAGGCCTCAGCGTTAACGCGGCTAAATCAGTGATCAGTGTTTGCACTAGCCTAGCTCCAAGGGAGCATCCATCCCCCTCCTCCCCCAGAGAACAGCACTGGAGGACCCTGGCTGGCTGGCCTAGCACCTCAGCTGCTTTCTGGTCATGCACGGAGCAGGGGGCCAGTGGGGATATCCCCCGCTGGCCCCGTGCTCCCATGGTGCTTCAAAGCAGCAATGCCATGTGGAGCCGGGGATCAGCTGGGGAATCCTTGAAACACAGCATGGAGTTTCAGGCTGGTGTCAGGCTACACACGGCATTTGAAAGCAGCTGTGCTGTGTGGAGCCTGGAGTCAGCTGGGGACTTCCCAGCTGATCCCAGGGCCCCTGCGGAATTTCTTTGGAACCCGGGTTCCACATGGTACTTCCCCGGAACCCGTGGTCAGCTGGGAACTCCCCGGCTGATCCCAGGTTCCAGGGAAGTGCCGCAGGGAGCCTGGGATCATCTGGACAGTCCCCAGCTGAGCTCCGAGCTCCACAGCCGCTGCTCCTTTGAAATGCATGGAGGCGGCGTTTTAAAGGGGCAGCCCTCCGCATAGCTGATCTGTGGATTAGCTGTGAGGCAGCTGCCCCTTTGAAACTGCCGCCTCCGTGCATTTCAAAGGGGCAGGGGAGTCTGGGGGCAGGTGGG